CCGTGAGCGAGATAGGTCGCGATGCAACTTTTTCTGGCCCATTTCAAGCTGGTCGAGTCGTTCTGTTAAAGCCAAGAGCATCTTCTCCAGTTTGGATGTTTCAGGCTCAGGTGGTGCGGTAGCGGCACAGACAGATGGAGCCGGGACAACTTCCAAAATTCGGTCGGCGATTTTGGCCAGTTCATCGAGTGACGTTTCTTGGGAGTGCGTTTGTAAGATAGCTTGTGCTTGGCGAGGTAAACGTTGCAGCCAGAGTGTCTTCATGAGCTGCTCATCTACTTTCGTAGTGCCAGTTAACGCTTTTAGCCTACGCAAAAATTGCGAAGGTGTGCTATCGCCTAGGTCTGCTTCAGTGAGTAGTTGTCGAACGCGGTGCGTTTCCGATTTGGACAGGCGAAGAATTAGCTCGGCTTCTAGCTTGGAGTATGGCGTGTCAGTGGGAGGTGAAACGAGAATGTCCTCCACTTCGTTGGCGACACGGGTTTCCAGTTGAGATGATACGAGAGAGTACCGCATCATCTCGCCTGTAATGTTCCAAACGGTAAAAATGAATTCAACCTGTGAAAACCATAGCTGCGGTTTCTCTAGATTGAACGGCGGTAGCTTTATGTTCTTCTTTTCGCCAGTGATGGCGGGTTGCCTTTCAGCGAGCTTGGCCTGGTAATAATTCATTTCCTCCCGCATTATTTTCATCTGGTCGAGGAGGGCCATATTTTTCTCGTTTGCTGCCTTGAGAGCTTGATCAATGTCGTCGTGGTTCTCTCCTCCCGTAGCCATGCTGAGGAGTTTCCAGTTGGTTGAAGAAGCGGTTACTTTCAGTGGCAGCGGAATGATGGGACGAGAAGATTCCAGATACTGACAGTGTCCTTGGATGAATGTTCAGAAGGGTAGGCGTGTTCGGAGTCGGAGGTCACCACTGAGGGTGCTGGAAACTTGGTGGCCCTAAGAAGGGCCGTTTTAGAGTGTGAAGAGCTGGAGCGGGTCTGAGCGGTGCTGGAACAAGCGGGAGCGCTAGAGGCAGTGCCGGAACGTGTGGCCGGGGGACTGTGTCAACGTACGGTGAAGCAAGGTGCTGAGAGTCGGCCGCTATATAGCGCCGTGCGCTGGGAGCGGGAGCCAATGGGAGGCCAGATCGGTGAGCGCGGCAGTGCGAGGCGCTGATTGGCCGAGAGAGTGGCAGGATAGCTCGGTGAGCTTGAGTCGCCACAGATTTTAATGGTCTCACAACAGTCTTGAGACGCTAGCGTGATACAGCGCCGACCGACCCGCGGTAGCAATTTATGGTGCTTCTCCGCCGCGGCCAGAGACTCCAGGTTTCCGCTTTTCCGGGAATCATGCTCGTCGTCAACCACATGAATGTATATTGTCTCACAACGTCACAGCCTACCCGCGCCTACCCCGATGTCCACCTCCGAGAATTTCCCACTGACGCGCAGCAAAATTCGGCGGCCAAACGGACTACACTCTCTCCAGAGAGCCTGCTGCTACTGTAAGTCTGCCAACGGATCCTCTGGTAGGGTAGACTCGATGGGCAGAAACCTAAGTCGAAGTGTTGGACTCACGCAAAAGATAGACTCAGACCAGCGGCACAGAATATTGCCTATACATTCTGTGCCGGCGGATGCGCACCCAGATTATCCGACGTGAGATCGCCCTAACCGTCTAATTTGCCGCAAACTCAACTCCCAATCCCTGTTCTAATCAAAATATTTTAATCCTTTCATTTTTGCACCCATCCTCCTTGGAAGAACCGTATTTCTTGTTCACAGTAATTTTGTTAGATGGGTTCCTTTCATAGGCGGTTCTACGGGGGTGCCAGTGGGTGCCGGGCACCCCCAAGCAAAAATTAAGTACGATTATCGGAACCGTGAAATTACTGCTTTTAAAGATTCTGTATTCGCTCACATGGAGAAAAAATCCCAGCAATTAATTGAAAATGTTTTAAACAGAATGAATATTGATAGCCGTGTTTTACAAAGATTCTACTGTTTTTTTATGGTAAGATTGTAGTTTTGATGGAAAGTTTTGCTAAAAATTTTCCTCATTGAATTTATAGGTATTTAAGTAGAAAGGAAGAAGAGAAAAAGAGAAAGGAGGGTAGGAAAGAGATAACACTTGAGGGCCGAAACTTAGGCCTCCCCTGAGAAATGTCGGAGAATTTTCCACCTCTGGGCACCCCTAAGCATGAAGGTCTAGAACCGCCTATGGTTCCTTTGTTCATTCATAAATTGTGTTGGTTTAAGCAGATGCTAACGGCACCTGGCAGCAATTGCGTGCATCATCTTTATAGGAGGCGTCACCACCTCGTTTACTACTTTTAAGGAACCTGATACCTTCTTTCAACGCAACGTTTTTTCTTTCATCCAGCGAGCTGTTACTTGGAATAAGGCTACGAGCGAGTTGCTAATTGGTTTTTCCCACTCAAAGGGTGTCCCACCCGTTTACTAATTCTAAGGATACTGGTTTCTCCTTTCGACTCAACGTATTTTACTTGATCAAACAAGCTGATGACTTGACAAGAGGCAACGGTCGTTTCCTCTTTCAAGAGAAGCGAGAAGCTCTTTCGTGAATAATTTCAAGAGAACGATTTATTCTCTCAACGCAACGTGTTTTCCTCTTTCAAGGAAGTTGGGGAGTTGAAAAAAGGAAACGACGGTGCTCTGAGGGCGTTGGCCCTGTTTACTGATTTTGAGAAACAGGTTTCTTCATTCAAGTACACGATCGCCTACCGTAAAACGCCGTTGATTTTATTCAAGAAAATACCTAGGATTTTCTTGTTCCAAGACAATTCTGAGTGCTTCTATTGCCCCGTGTTTTCTTCCAAGGTGGATCCGCCTTGGATTTAGTAGAAAATGCAAGTCAAGGCGTTTAATTTTTGGGAGGGCTTTTTTTCAGTGTACTGAAAAAGTTGCAAAAATCAACTGCCCGTGCTTACACCACCAGACGAAGTTGTAGATGTATAATACTTTACCAGCAGAAAAGTGGGGTTGGCGCAAAGACCCGAAACTTCTTGTCACAGCCTGTGAAGTCATGCAAAAGGAAAGTCCTCCTAAAAAAAGTTTTTTTAGTCACGTGATTCTGTGATGAATACTAAAAATATTGACTTTCGTTGTTCATCACAGAGTCACCTGACAAAAAACCTGTTTTAGGAGGATTTTACTTTTGCATGCCCTCACAGGCTGTGACAGGAAGTCTCGGGTCTTTTCGCCAACCCCATTTTCTGCTGGTATAAAGTATTATACCTACATCTACAACTTCGCCTAGTGGTACACGCACGGGGAGTGGCTTTTTGCAGGTTCTTCGGTCGGTGGTAAAGATGAAAGTTTATTTCTTTTGGCGCTTACAATGGATTCGGTGAGAGAAATAATAAAACTCATTGGAAAATAGGTCAAACTTGCGTAAGAAAGAGACATATATATACATATATACTCGTATATATATGTACATATAAAATTTGACACAATAAAATTTGGGATAAAAGCTGAAACATATATAAAATACCGGACGTTTCGGGGCGAAACACCAACCCCTTCCTCAGCGGCTAAAACAAAAAAATAAAGCTAAAAACCTAAGAAAACTACCTCCTCCTCATCTCGCCAATGCTAGGGAGGAGGTAGTTTTTTAGATTTTTAGCTGTATTTTTTTGTTTTAGCCGCTGTGGAAGGGGTTGGTGTTTCACCCCGAAACGTCCGGTATTTTATATATGTTTCAGCTTTTATCCCAAATTTTATTGTGTCATATTTTGTATCGTGTCGGGCTGCAAATCGTTTTATCCATATGTACATAGAAAAAAAACACTGAGAAGTGGCCCGAACTTAATGTAACAAGGTGGAGAATTTGTGCTGAGTCCACACCATTTCGCGGGGATATCAAAGTCAAGAAGTTCCAAAAATTATAATTAGAGTCAATTTTTTTTTTTTTTTTTTTTTTTTTTTTTTTTTTTTTTTAACTCTAGTGAGCACCAGTACAAAACTGAGGGGGGAGAGTGATCAGCTCAGGCAGCTTGCATTTGCATATGAAGTTGGAGTCAAGGTGAGAGATCTATACCTCGTCAGTGAACCCAACTTAACATGCCGCAAAATCCAAGATCCATATGCCGGGTCATATTCATGACGGCGGTTTAATGCCGTCTTGGATTTTGCTGCATGTTAAGTTGGGTTCACTGACGAGTGTGATCTACTGATGAGGTCTAAAAAGACCCAAACCGGTATAGATCTCTCGGCGTGACTCCAACTTAATATTCCAATGCAAACTGCCTGGGGAACACTTCTAGTGGAAGTGAACCTCATGCGGCGGGAGGTCTGCAGGTGGTTAACCATCCGCGGCGGGGACTAACCTCCTGCAAAGTGAGCTGCATAGAATTGCAGGCCCTTGGTTGAGGTGATTAAGGCTTGCGAGAGGTCTGCGGGAGGTTCGCGGGAGGTTACTCAGTTTTTTCCTGGAACAGGGTGTCGACCCCATGCGACGGGAGGTTGCTTGAGGTTAGCAGGAGGTTGCAGGAGGTTAGTCCCCGCCGCGGATGGTTAACCACCTACAGACCTCCCGCCGCATGAGGTTCACTTCCACCAGGGGATCCCCCCTCAGTTTTGTATTGGTACTCGTCAGAGTTAAAAAAATGTATTTTTGACTCTAATTATAATTTTTGGAACTTCTTGACTTTGATTTCTTCGCAAAATGGTGTGGACCCAGCATCATTTCTCCACCTTGTTATATTTATACAAAAAATAAAAAATGCACGATTATGAGAGTCACAAAACACGTATCCCGCTTTCCGATATTGCAGATTTCTTGGCACATTTCTTTTCAAAAGTAATATAAATCACGATTACAATCATGCCTCGGAATTTTCACTGCATTTTTTCATTGTAAGTAGAATATTCTGCGGTTTGAAACGATGAATTTATTTTGCTATTCTTTGAAAAATGGAACAAACAATAATAGCGAATATTTTAAGACACCGCTACGGAGGTACGTGTTTTGCAACTTGCTGTTGTATATACCTCCAAAGATCCTACCAATATTATTTCTTTCCATACTTCTTGAGATATGTCCTCCAACTGGACTTTCACCACCGGAATCAACATCACTCTCTCGACTAAAGATGTCCAAGTTTGCGCAATGAACCTACACATAGATATGAGAAATGAAAATGAGAAAATTCACAATAATCTATGAAAAATGATGCCCGTTTCATCACTCTTTACTTAATTTGCCATCAAAAATTCACTATTTTCCCCTTTTTTAGAACTTTATCGTGATGAATATAATATCATTTTTTATTTTAATTTTCTGCCCCTTAAAGGCGTTTTGACCTTAGTGCATCTGCACAAACAGCCACTGACAAGAAAAAGTTACTAAATGATCTATTTAGTATTTAATTGGTGGTAGGAGACACGAGAGTAGGTACCTAACTGCTTTTTACGTGTGATTCGTAAATCCATGTATATGAAGTGCGGAGGATTACCTAATATTACATGGAGACTTTGTTGGCACGGATGAAATTACTCAGGATGGAGTACCTATTTGTTCTTAGATAAATCTGATAGGAGCAAAGGCACGAACGCTGAATATACGTACATAGGTAGGTACGTAAGGTAGTACAGGTTTCGTTGGTAAGTACGAAATGGCAGCCTACTCGGCTCGAAAGCAGTAGACCGAAGAGAGTTTGTAATTTATAGTCTGAGAACCAGCTGCACTTTTGGCGCCACTACTCCGTTACGCGTGAAACTTTCCAAGAACAAAGTTCTGACCTCCTTAGTAACGGATTGGGTTCTATCAGACCTCAAAAGTATGTATCTGGCCGCTGTTCCCCGCGTTAAACGGAAAAAAGCGTGTTTGAGATCGCACCGAAGAGCTACTTTACGGCCCCTGAAAAGTTCTATGACTTTGATACTGTACAAACGTATTGTGGGGATACATTTGGAGGTACCTAATGCTAGCCCGGCAGACGGATTTGAGTTTATGCGACTGATCAACAGACCTCGAAAAACGCTCTTCCATGCTATGAAATCGCACGAAACAGCCACTTGACGGCTCCGCAAAAGTGATTTTACGTTGTTTTATGACCTTGAATAGTATAGGCACAATCATTAAAAGCTAGTCTTGCTTAGAGTCCCTTATACCCAGGGTTACAACATCTCAATTCTGCTTGGGCCAAGGGTCGGGCTTGGTTGGGCTGAAAGTGGCCTACAAGAAATTCCATTTCAGATTGGTCCTCACTCATTGAGTCACAAAAGTGTGTACCGAGATGACCTTGGCTCAAATGTATACAAAAATAATGTTAAAACAACCTTTTTGTGATTTATTAAGAGTAAATTGATATTTTCATCGCACCAAAATGAAAATAGATTCAGAAATAATTCACGAATCAATCTCATTTTATTTTATTGCAATTTCTTTGGTTAGGTCAATTTGATCAGTTTCGTTGATAATGTTGTTTTTGGTTGACAGGCATCGAGGATTCCTTATCCTTGACCCTCAATATCGTTCGTTTGGGTGCACACTATTGTACCACGGTGGCCAGCCCAGGCTACGGCCAGGCCAGCTGATCATCGAGATGGATGTCTTAACTCTGGGTATAAAGGGACTCTAGTTTTGCCCCGGCAGACGAATTCGAGTCCATGCGGCTGATCGGCAGACCTCGAAGAAGGCTCTTTCATGTTACGAAATCCCGGGAAAGAGCCACTTTACGGCTCCTGAAAAGTGGTTTTATGGCGTTCGGTGACCTTGATATTGCACAAACGTATTGTAGGAATACAACTGAAGGTAATGCTAGCTCGGCAGACGAATCCAACTTTACGCGGCTGATCAGTAAACCGCACTCAAAAAAAAACTACGGCCCTGTGACCCGGTTGCTCTGGACACTGGTGATTCCGGTGTTCACGCGCCGTAAAGCAGCTAGTACCGGACACAGCGGTCGAAGTCCCCTGGAGCCCGCGCGGCCTCTGTGGCCGTAAGACCGGTTAGGAGCCGAGCGTAAGTTACGGGTTTCAAGATCGGAACCAAGCTCTTCCACGGCCGTTGGCAGTGAGGTGAGATTCAGTTTTCGGAAAATGGCGTCACCGTCGGATTAAAATTGAGATGGCTCCGTGTAAATTCGCAGAAAATTATAATATTTTACGTCAATTGCGTGAATTTAAAGTTGCCGCCAGCCTTGAACATATTCGGGAGCGATCGAGCCACCACTCAGCGTTATTTATTGAGGTTAGAATCTAGTCTAAATTAGGAGTATGGCCACTGGGCCCCATGGAGAGGCTTAGGACCCAAACATGGCGGTGCTTTGTTTTGGTTTTTGTGGATGGGAGGGGGGTCATTGCCAACTTTTGACGGTTATCACCAACCGCACTTGCTGCCAACCTTACTACATCTAAGATAATTTTTCTCAAAAATTGCACACGATTAGCCTTAAAAATATGTAAAGATGTCACAATAGTGCATTTGAGTAAATTTCTCGTTACGATAAGCAAAGAAAACTACATTTTGAGTCGTTTTGCATTACATTAATTTATGGCGTCCGCCATTTTTGGGTCCTAAAGGCTCCATCCAGCCTAAGATGGCTGAGCCAATCAGAGATGGTAACTCCAGTGGCCATACTCTCTCAATATAGGTACTCTAGTCTAAATTGCTTGGTCATTGTTGGTCATTGCTCATTACGTGTGTTCGTTTTTTGTTTAATTTTTGAGGTTTTTGATATATTTTCTTGATTCTGTGTGATGCACGATTGATTCTAAAGTTCTGTGTGATAACGCTTGTCAAATACTTTCGGAAATGCGACGAGAGTTAAGTGAAAATTGTCAGTTTTGGTAGTACCTACGCACTGAGCTCATATTCTCTCCTCCTGTAAGTTCGTTTGCAATTCACTTATTTTCCCCCTACTAAAGGAAAGAACTTAAATCAAAGAAAAGCAATCAATTACCTGCCACGCATCTCCCCACGGAGTAAATTACCGCCACACTAAAATACTGATAATGTAGGCACGAGAATGTCCGTTAATTGTAAACTGTATTTTGTCACTTTTGCTTTGTTCTGCCTGTGTAAGAGGATACAGTTTTTATTCCATTTCGATCTAATCTCTAACTCATAGATGTTTTCAACTGTGAGTAGTATTGCAGTCTCTGACATCTCCCCTCTCTGTTACAAAAACAGCGGAAACTGTACCCTTAAAATGTAGAACCTATCCTGCGCAGATTAGGTATCTAATAGTGACAGCAAGCTCGATCGTTGTTGCTGTGAATAATCTCTCTGATTCCATATCCCAATTCTAGGGAGCTCAGTGTTACTGTAATAGTGGTAAAATTTTGTGTGAATCGCGCTTCAGTTTGCTGAAGAGAAGATCTATAATTTTAACAAGTGTGACAATTTTCGGTGGTATATTTCTTCGCTAATATTTTGTGGAAATTGTATCCGGTAGTTATTGCGGAGAGTTATATCTTGAAGTTTTGTCAACTTTTACTACTGAATTTACACCTTGAAATATTCTCAACCTCATTTTCAAGATTCTGAAGCTCTTCTAGTCGTAAGGAGTAAAAATCTGTAAGTACCTAGACCCACACCAGTGGTTTTCCTTTGTTAATCATTTAGGTGATTTCCTACTTTGCATTCGTATTTTTTATCGAGGGATGAACCAGGTTTTGTTTTTGACAAATGCTGAATTCTCATTGAGTGAAAGTAAGTACATTTATTGAGAACGGGCTGCCAAGTGATAAAAATGATTTTTCAATTTAGCTGCAATGAGTTTTAGAAATTTATCATACCTTGGGCAGTCTGTTCTACATTTAAGATAGGTAGCAAGAATTTTTGATCTATCTACATTTGTTCCTTCATGTCTCGGTGGTTGGACTATTTCCATAACGTTGTACCTACCCAGTCAATTGGATATATATGGCTGATCAAACTGATCGTGAAAATGCCTAAAACATCTTTGCACCCTGGCGTACATACATACAAATGTTCTTATCATCCCAAAAGCTGAAGTAATGTTATTGTCAGCCTGATATGGGCTAAAATGAGAGGAATTATCTAATTTTTTGTTTGTTTTATCCATCAAACATTGCCAAGTATTCCGCAGACTTAATGAGCTATAGTCAACTGCTTCAAATCTATGAACTTTATTCATTTTTGTCCTAAAAATAAGTTCCAAGGTACCTATTTATTGCAAAGCTAAGAATCAGTTGAATACTTCTAAGCCAAAGTTCATTCTGCTATCTACAAATTAGAGTGCTTTATTTATTTCTAGGAAGGCTTGCAACATTAAAGTTAGGTTTTTGAAAATTTCTCTTGATATCTCTACACGATGAATAAGCTAACATTCATATGCTGATTTTCTTTCTCAATACGCATCATCTCTTCTCTAATTTTCATCTCTTTTCTCAAATTGACTTGCTAAACTATCAGCCAAGGAGTTCAAATCTCTCTTGATATCTGAAACATGATCAACATGCTAACGTTCATATGCTCTTTTTCTTTCTCAGTCAGTGAATTATCCATCACTTTCCTGAAACTAAATTGTTATGAACTATTAACAAAGAAATATGTACCTATTTTAAAAAGAAAGGAAGGAAAAGAAATCTTGTTCAGAAATTGGCACAAGATAATTCCATAGAGTACAATAGAGTCGCAAAGTACTGGATCGCCGTTGAAGTCACTTTTCGAGGCTGTTTTGTCCAGTTCTCCGGAGACTAGTGTGCGGCGACTAGCGACGACGCATACGCAGAGACTCGCGCTCAGCGCTCCCCACCTCCCCACTCCCGACTCGGCTCCGTTCGTCGGCTAGGTCCACACACATTGAACCA